GGCAAACTTTTTTGTAATTTTTAAAAATAGTAGGGAAGAGTTAGACTCTTTGAGCCACTGTAACGCCTGAATGGACTGTAGTAGTGGGGATCGCAGCTGCGGAGGCTTCTCAGGTATGGAACCCTGGTTTCACTCTCTCAGTTTTAACAGAGAGTTAGGGTTCCTCGCATCACAGCCTCAGGATAAATAATAAGGCAACAGAAAAGGTTCTACTACGTAAACTAGGTTTGAGGAGATGTGGTAATTGATAATCAAGCTGTATGACCGCAGGATTCCACAAATAAATGTATCTAAAGCAAGTGTAAATCCCCCTTAGCAGTTTAAGCCTATACAGGCGTTACTTAAATAGTCCCAAATGACAAGAGGGTGCAACAGCACTCGGTACTTGCGGTTTGTTTGAAAAACAGGCTCAATTGGAGAAGCAGGGGTTCCTCGGAGGGGTCCGGATCCAGTCAACGATGGAGGCACTGCTAAGAGGCAAGTGGAGGGTCCCAGGAGACAGCAGGCGTTTCTGCTCAATTCAGGAACGCCATGCTGTCTCAGCTGGCCGTTTAAATAGGCCTCCGTAACTAGGAGGAGCCGAGCACGCTCTCGGCGCACTTCCGCGTTCCACGGTGGAACGCACGCAGTCCCGAAACCCGGGGTGACACCCCGCCGTGACGGTGCCGCGCGTGCGCAATGACGTCATCGCGCTGGACTTTGATGACTGCCGATGGCCATCTTGGTGATGGACGCCGGCAGAGAGTGGAGGGGACGTTCACCCGGCGGGATAAGGTATACCGCCGGATCCCCTCCACACTCCTGACGCTGTTGGGCTCTCGGTCCGTGACCGAGTGCCCGACATTTCATAGCGGGTGACACCAAAATGACTCTTAGTCATTTTGGTGTCACCCCTCCAATGGTGGCACCCGGTTGCGGTCCGCACACCCCGCAATCCCCTTGGCTACTTTTGTTCCCCATGCTCCCTGTGTGTGTGTTGTAAAGTAGCCACTGCTCCAAGCTCACTCCTGTGATAGACTACAATCTCAATACAAAATAGTAAACTAAACATGAGATTGTAGTCCATCGCAGGAGTGAGCTTGGAGTGGTGGATACTTTATAACATACACAGGGACCATGGGGAACAAAAGCAGCCACCCTCCAGAAGAAAGCAGAGTGTCAGCACGAGTTCCCGAAATTATTTGAGGATCTACATCTGAGTGAAACACAAATAAGCAACATTTGTGTTAATAGTGAAAGGTACTTGAATGCATTTTTAAGGTTTAACTCCTGAGTTTAGTGTCATTTTACAATTTTCTTTACAAAAAAAAGTCATAGACAATTTTCTAAATGTTTTGCTTAGTAGAAATAATCTATGGCTATCGCATGTTCCATTGACTACTGCTGCTTACCCACTGCTGCCACACCTGTATATATATGCGTGTGTGTGTATATACAGTATATAATATATATA